TAAATGCACTACTTTAAAGAAAAAGAGGGAACTTTTTTTTAAGCAAATCCATAGGAAATTAAAAACAAAAATGCAGGAATATAACAACTAACATAAAGTAATAATATAATGTGAAAAATAGCTTCTCATGTTTCCAACAGGTTATATTTCATCTTTTTACATTTGTTTCGTTTTTTATGAAAATAACTGATGATGTATGAGCTTTTCTATTATTTAATGGATATATTTAATAGACAATTATATAATGGATTTCTATTATTTAATGAATATGTTCATCACTTAAGTCTTTTGGCTGAAGTAAAACACTCTAAAAGGGGATTATTCTCTGAATACTTACATCAGATGAGGCACAAAACATAATTATTTGCATCAAAATGATGTTTTATTTTTGCTATTCTAGACCTACGTGTTGCAGTAACTGGTAACTTTGAAATTATTATTCTTATAATAGAAGCCCTCTGATTTGGATAGTTTCTTTTAGAAGTATGATGTAAGTTACATGAATTTAGAAAATTGAATTTTGTAAACTGATGTAGCTTTCTGACTTACATATTTTTTTAAGTATTTATTTATCTCCCCATTCCCATCCCAGTCATGCAAAAATCATAAGTAAAGGAAAATATTGTATGTGAGAGAGGGGTGTAGCAGCAGGGTGTTTGGGTCTAAGACCCTACCCCTCGTCAAATAACATAAGTAATTTCCGAATGATGTAAGTAAAATAACTGAAAAGAAATATTAAAAATAATATGTTCATATATACATAACTTCACTTTTTTATTATTTTTAAGTGGATTAAATAAGTTTTATGATGAGTAGAAAAAATAAGGCATACAAGATTTCAAAGTGACTCGAAAATGCCATCTGCAAAACTTAAAAGGCTATTGAGCTGGTGATAAACTGTCAAACTGAGAATTGACATAAATAGGAAAACAAAGTGAAAATCCAAAGGTGCACTATAGTAAATTACAGTAACGTACATTAAAAAATATATAATGCTAATACACATATTTACAAAAAACAATTGAAGAGCACAAATACATAGCACTGCGTTAATTTACATAAATTAGTCAGGTTGGTTACATAGCATGGCCAGTGGCCCTTTACTAAACAATCAGTCATTTACATCATAATTGTAAACCCCGATAACTGGGTTTTGATACGTTTTTGGTCACTGTAGAATTTGTGAGCAGTACAACAATAAAAGGACTTAAGCTACTTGATGCATAGTTCTTCATAGAGGTTTTGATTTCTCATGTACTATGGAGAATTAGTAATCTGCCACAATACACAATTATGGGCAGTTTGGAGCTTTTTTCAGCAGATTTAGCCCAAACCGGGCAGGCATAACAGAGTATGGGAACCAACATCGACTTATAAATGAAGGAAAATATTATAATTCATGAACGAGTAAAACTTATATTTAACTAATTATATATTATTAATGTAATTAAGAAGTTGCGTGTATGGCTTTTTTAATTAGAAATCAGCTTCATTAGATAGCAGTAAATAACTGGAAGGTAGATGTTACTACTTTGATTAGAAATTATATTTAGAAAATATTAAGCTGTTAGTTACTTAAAAATTTTTGACTTAAAGGTATTAGGCAATAACTCCATTTTATGTTGTTACAGAGGAATTTTATTATTATTATTATTCATATTTAGTTAATTTTTTAGTGAAAATCAATGTTGATGTAATATTCAAGAAGATTTTTTTCCAGTTTTAAAATAAATGTTTTACTTGATAAGAAAAATAGTGTGTAACATCATTTTATTGTAAGTTATTGACATTAATGGATTTCTATTATTTAAAAAATAAATAGTTGAAAATTCCATAAGTTACTCAGAAATTAATATTGAGAAGTAATTTGATAAATATCTTCTATGTTAAGAATTCTTTTACATGTTTCAAAAACTGCATGTTATGTGAAGAAAAATGCCCGTATGAGAAGGCCAGAAAGCTGAAAGAGCAGCTTGATTTTCTGGTATGATAGATATATTTCATATTATTTGACAGTGTTTAGTCTGATATGTTAGCAGGGTTGTTTAAAGACCTCACGGCATTGATAGGCACAAGTTTTAAAAAAGATTATATATAAATATATAAATATTAATAAGAGCAGTTGGAAATATGCCATTGTTGTGATATTTCTTTACTTTAGATTTTTTTAATCTTTCAGGCCCTTAAACTCAGCTTTGACAGTTAATACATGCATCCAATACAATGTGATAAAATCTCTAAACATTGTTATATATCTTGTATAGCTGTTAATGTTGCAAAGAAAATAATGCAAAAAGTACAGCCATCTTTTGTCTACTAGATATATTGGCCTGTTGACACAGTAAGTGTCACAATAAGAATGTTTTAAGATCCATCTCTTCTTTCATTGCTGTCACCAAGCTGGAAGTTCTAGTACTGTTGTTGATTTCACCATCAAAATGAAAATCTGGAAATTAAAAGTCTTTTCAACAGAAAGATTTTATCTTAGTGTTATTATGTATAGCATATCTGAGAAAAAGGCTTATTATATTTTTAGAATGTTTTATAATACTTTTCAATTTTATAAATTTCCATCTGGCTTAGATTGATTCCATGTTAAATGCATTAAGTGAATATAAAAATATCTGTCAGTCATGAATTTTTGAGAAAACCCTTGCATGCTTTGCTATAGATGACTAAAGAAGCAAACAAGAACTTGTGATATGTATACCTTCTATCTGCATTGTTTCTTTGTTGAAGGTGTACTGTATACATTCTCATTTATATCCACTTGTGATTCATGCATAGATGATGCCTATTATTCTCCAGAGAGAAAATATGAGAAAGTTTGTTGGAGGAAAAAACATCACGATAGTAAGGTGCATTAAGTAATTTTAAGAAAACAGAGGATGGTAATCAGATGTGAATAAATAATATACTGAAGAAGGGAATAAAGCAACTGACTGTGGTAAAATCAAAATAAAATTTCAGCTGAATTTTCTTACATTAAAAAATTGTTAGAAACCGAAGAAAATCTAAACAGTATTTAAGAAGTTACAGACACGTTTAGAGACCTAATAAAATTCAGAAAATATATATGTAACAGATTTTGCTGATGAGAAGTACCATCTTCTGTTTTATTATCAAATGCTTTTGAAGCTATTTGAAGGTATCTGCATGGGTAAAAACCATTTGAAAGACACAAATTTTTTGCTCGATCAGTTGCTTCTGTAAAACCAGTGTCCGAAATATCAACAGAATGTAGTTGTTGAAGCTAAGAGAAATATTGTGTATAATTTTCAGTTAATGAAGGATGACTAATAGTTCTTTCTATTATTTAAAAAAATGCAAAAATATGCATTCTGTAGACATTGAGAAGTTAGATCAGATGTCTGTTGGCCATAAAGCAAGAAATATGAAAACTTGAATGTGTAATTTAGAAAACAGTTATCTTAAGAGAAAGCTCAGAAAGGAAGGGCTAAAATTATTTGATCTTAAAATACAGTTGTAGAAGCAGAAGATGAATTTTATGTAAAGTGATAAAAAATAATTTTAGAAGTAAAACAGAATATATTTCAAGTCAAGATATATAACATAACAATGTAAAATGAAGAAAGGATTAAAACTAAACTGTATTGTAAAATATAGTAAATTCAGATTACCTCTTTTTCACATGTTTTAAAGTCGAGTACATTGAAATTAATTTATAGTTTTGAATTTGTTAAAAATCTTTTACCTTTTTAAAATTTGTTTCATTGAAGTCATTACACACTATAATTAATATTGCATTACAGTTCTTTAATACTTTTGTAATCTATTTGACTAAGAAAAATTGCATCATTGTGAAAAATGTTTATATTCATAAAATTACAAATATACCTATAATTTTTGTGTTCAAAACGGACTTTGGTTGATGATGATAAGCTCTGTAATATTTTGAATACACTGTCAAAAATAGAATTTTAAAAGAGCTGTCATGTGGCTTTTGTGTAAAGGGCCCTAAAAGTTCTCAGAATAATCTTTTGTGCGAGAACTATTAATTCTAAGACGTTGAAGTAAATTAATTTTCTTAATTATATATTTAGTTGCAACCCATCAGAATAAACTGGTTTCATTGATGAAGTGTTTAATTTACAGCATAGAAATGTAAAAAGAAGCAGCAGAACAAAATGTTTTATATATCTTTTGTTAATATCTATGTAAGCAAATACACTGTTAGTAATTTTAAAACTACATTTTAGAAAAAAATTTTTATTAATTACTTCTAGCTATTTGAAAGAGCCCACCAGTACATGAGCAATATAAAAATGAGCCTGTTTTCCTTAGAAAATCCTCCATGAAAGTATTTATCTCCTTAGTCTTCGTATGCTCTGGCTCAAACTGAATAAGCAAATCTTTGAAAGTTAGGCCACTTTCAAAGTGAGTTAGTAAAACATTGTAAAATACTGAAACATGTATGAATGAACTTAACTGTAATAAGATTACTCTTTGGCATTCATAAATTTATTCAGATGCTTAAATTAAGAGCTGGGCCTTTTTTGCACCTAGTATTTCATAATATTTTTTTTTCTTTTTTAAATTGCATATTGCATTTTAATTGATCACAATTTTTTTACCAATCTTAATTATAAATATAGCTATTGGGAAAGTACATTATTTTTTATTTGTAGCAATGTTCTATTACCAATTCACATCTTTAAGTTATTACAAGATTGTCAAGTCATTAAAAATAGTTTTCTGAGTACAAAATTTTTTGCAAGAGTAATATGATTTACTGATTTTGGCCTTAAATTCTAAGAGTTTTAGCCTAAAATTATCTTGTTAAAACTTTTGCTTTTGTAATGCATGACTTTAAACCATCCTGAGCTGAAGTTTTGTTTGATATTGGCATTAAAGCTGCCAATATTGCAGATACTCTGAGCATAAGTTTTCTTTTCTGTTTTAATATTTGGGGTTAATTTGGTTTCTTTTATTAATAATGCCATTGTATAAGTTTTTGCTTCTACTTCCTTTTCTCAAAGTTAAGTCTCCACTCTCACCTCATCCCCCTGATAATAAATTTGCATATAAAAGGCCCTCAGAAACAAGTTCAAGTATGTCTATGGGTAAGTAATAAAATTTTCTGTTTGGAAAACACTGATGTACATAATTTTGAAATGTCAAATGGAATTAAAATTTCACTGTTAAATGCAAAAATATATGAGCATCAAAACCTTAACACATCTGTGTTGTTTTTGTGTGTCAGCAGTGTATATATAAATTAGACATACATTATTTATTATTTTGTAAACCTTTATTGTATGAGCAGTTTAGTAAAATCACATTTTGACTAAGTGACTGGAATTATGTATGTTGTATGTTATTTGCAGATGTGTTATTTAAATTTTGTGCAAAGCATTTATTCATCTTTACACCTGAAGCTACTGAACTCTAGCAGTTATTAATTTTCAGTTGTTCGGATGCATGCTAAATAAGTTTCAGCTGTTTGGATATACAAATGTTCATAAAGAGCAAATGTGGACAGGAATTTTCCTTTTTGTACTGTTTTTTGTATAGCTAGTGGTATTTTTTAAGCATTTGTAAAGGTCTGTGTAAAAACTGTTTTTTTGATGAAAAATTTAATAAGCAAATTCCTTTTGAAGCATTTTTTGGTAAATTTGTCAATGTTTTATGTAAAAATACAAAGAAATTTTTATTGTTGATGATTCTAGCTGGGATTTTTTTTTAATACTCCCATGATTGATTTTTATCTTTGCTATTATGATGTTACTGAACATAAAAGAAAAAACTGTAAAAAAAAAAAATTTGTGCTTTTTTTCACAAAGAAATCACTTTATGAAATCAAATATTGTAGTTGCTGATTTTGACTTTTTGTCTTTTTTATAACTAAATTCTCTGAAATTTGATCCTACATAAACTGCTGTTGATGTGTATTCAATATTTTTAATAAAGTTTTATTTCCTTTATTTTATATTTTAGTAAATATGTTTTAAATTATATATTTGTAAGCAATATTAAAATTGTCAAAGCAAAATAATTCAAGTAGAAAAAGTACAGGCTCTTTATGCAAGTTTCTTATGTTCCCCACTTTATAGAAATCGTTAAACAAATGATTTTTTAAAGGTGTATTCTTTAGGGGAGTTAATGAAAAGTGTCCTTTCTGTATGAGTTAGTGTAAAGCTTCAGTTTTTAACCTTCGTGCTTGATATAACATAAATTTGTTTGAATTATTTTGTATTGATGATTTGCTGCTATTTATACCTGTTACTTCAATATGTTGCAATTATGTTTGTTGAGAATTTTAGTAACTTTTAATTTTTTTTTGTAGCAGTTAAAAGTACCAATGGAATACTAGACCGTAAGTATTTATGATTAATTTTGTCACAAATGTATGCATTGATTTATGACTAAAAATATTTGGTACTATTTGGTTTCGAGGGCTGTAAAATATCGACAAACTATTGTTGATGCCAATGCTGCCAAAAATAATTGCGGCAACCCTAATAATTTCAGCAAGAAAGGAAGTATAATAGTAAATAACTATTTAAGATTGATGTTTTAATTTAGATGAAAGGTTAATTTCATATAATACTTTTTTATTATTATAATTTATATGAAAAAGGCTAAACATTACTAAATGGAAGCAAAAGAGTAAATAACTATTTCAGATCGTTATTATAATTTATATAAAAATTGCTAAACATTACTGAATGGATGCCTGCATCGCTATTTCACTACCGACTTATCGCTAAAGCATAATTTCATCTTGTTGGTTGTTCAAACATAATTTTCTATAATGAATGATGCCTTTTCTTTGAAAATATTCTCGGTAAAGTGCAGAATCTCTCACTTATTTGTTTGCCGCTTTTTACAAGGGTAAAAACAATTGGATTTTTGTCAATTTTCTTTTACTTTTTAAGTGAAAATAGGTCGATGTGTACATAGATAAAGTCAAGGGTGTGCGCAGTGCCATTTTTGTGCAATTCTGGAATTTTTTTTAAGTGAAAATAGGTCGATGTGCACATGGATACCGAGTATGTGCAGTTCTTAGAAACGCATCAAGCAGTGGGTGATTCTGCACTTTACCCAAAATTCTATTGCCGAGTTTTTGTCATGGGCAATTCCCAAATTGTTAAATTCATAGGATATCAAAAAAAGGATTTAAAATCAGAAAAGAATTTAAAAATTAAACTAGTATTTCAATGGCGTCTTAAGAAATATAGAATTATATAAACTTATGCAACCTGAAAATCAGCGTGTATGCTAGATTTGGTGCACTGTTAAAGGGCGCGTTTGCTAGATTTGGGGCTTTTGCGCATACATTTTTGCTGCAATTTTTTTACAGCCCTTTGAAACTGAATAGTACAAAATATGGTATACCTAAATTTGCTTTTAAATACATTGTGTAATTTAGCAATTATGTAAATGTTTAAATAACTACTAAAGTGTTAAAGAGTCTTAATTTTTCTTTTATTTTGCTTAACATTTAATTATTTTTTATTTTTATATTTACTTGTCTCTTATTTTTCATTTTAAATTCTTTTTGAAAGCAAAAATAAAATACTTTTACCATCAATAACAGTATAATCGAAAATTCAAAAAATTTATAACTCTAATCTCTATGTTAGCTTTATTTAAAAGATTTTGTTTCATCAAAATTAATCCTAGAGCTACTGGTTTATAAAAATCTTGGCATAATTTACCTAATTTTAGTAGTTAAGGTTCAGGTTTTGAAATTTGTTTTCTTTTTCTTTGTTCAGCAGTTTTTGGTGATTTGATTTTCAATGAAAATTATAAGCTAAAAAGAATATTTAATATTTTATAACACTAATATTACTTATTTAATTAAATTCTTTACAGAAAAGTGTTTTTAGTGATTCAAGAACCAGCTGGAAATTTTATACAGTACAAAGTCCGTAATCCGGAATGATCTATAATCCGGACATCAAAGCCACAAACTTTTTTTTTTTGTATGCTTTACGCATGCGCGTTTAATCTATAACGGACGGTATAAGCTAGGCTAAAATTATCTTTACTGATTCTAAGGCATTTCAGTTAATGTTGCAGATTTTGTGCTGTTCCTTAATCTTCTAATTGGATCCGGCTTATTATTTTTTACAGACTGTCATTCATTGAATTCATTACTAGCGAACAATTATTTCCAGAACAAATTGACAATGCTGATGAAACTGGTCTTTTCTGGCAATATGTACTGCAAAATACCTTGGCAACCTATACAAAAAAAAAGCTCCAACTGGTATCAAAGATTCCAAAGCGAGACTAACAATTTTAGTATGTGCAAATGCTGCAGGAACGCACAAGTGCAAACTTTTTGTAATTGGAAAATATGCACGACCTTGAGCATTTAAAGGTGTAACGATTTTCCCCGTTATATCATGCAAATAAAAGAGCATTGATGAATGATTGGTTTGAAAATCATTTTATACCCAAGGCTCGACGACATTTGAATTTGGTTGGTTTACCTGATGACTCAAAAATAGTCCTGATTGTTGACAACTGTTCGGCGCATACTTCACTTAAAGTTTTAGTGAAAGATAATGTATCCGTATTATTCTTTCCTCCAAATTGTACGTCTATCATTCAGCCTATGGATATGGGAATAGTGCACACGCTGAAATGCAAATATAAAGTAGCATTTTAAAAATCTATGTTAAATTTCTTGAACAATGGCACGACTTTTTGAAATTTTTTAGCATAATATCTGCTGTATGGAGCATCGCAAGATTGTGGGAGGATGTGTCTACAGATACGTTAAAAAATGCTAGGCATAATTTTTGGCCAACTACCATATTTCATGGTGAGGACAATGAAGATGATAGCTGCGAATTTGAAGGTTTTTGGACATTGCAAACTGAAGGTGAAATTTTCCAGTTTTTGGATTTTGTAAAGAAATGGGAAGAAGTGGTAATAACTGAAGATGATATTACAGAAGTTTTTCATTGTGAAGACAATGCCTCAATCATCAATCAATCAACGGACGGCGAAATCTGTAGTATGGTTCTAGATCCAGAAAATACTGCTTCCGATAGTGAAGAAAGGGACAGAGAGGTTATTGAAAACGAAAAAAATTTGGATTGTTAAGTTAGTCGGTATTCTCGACACAGCAATTACAGGACTTGAACAGTGGAACTTTGTAACTGAACAAGAAATTATGTCTGTTTATAGAATTAAAGAGAAAGTATTAGCACAAAAAATGAAGCAACTTAAATAACGTGTATTGAAAGAAATGTTTAATAAAGTAAACAAATAAATATTGAGCTTTTTTTTTTTTTTTTTTGTAAATTTTGATACCCTTTAGGTCATAATTGCTCTTTATTTCATAAATTACGGTTTCATATTTTTAACTGTAATTTCTGCATGCCAGCTTACCAGATTTAAATTGATGATCTATAATCTGGGAAAACCCCTAATCCAGAATTGCCGAAGTCCCGACGAGTCCGGTTTACGGACTTTGTACTGTATTAATAATTTTAATTTTCTTATGCAGGTAAATGAAATTTGCATGAATTTATATTTTAGCATTAACAAAAATTAGGGACAAGACTAAACTCAGATATGCTATGATATCTGATGCAAAATTTAAATATAAATAGATGCCAGTTAATGTGATTGCAATTAGTGCTGTCATACAGATATTGTTATTGGTTTCTGGAAATCTCGACTGTTATATACAAAAACATGGAAACGCATTACTTATTGTGATCCACAATTCATTTAATATGATCAAATAATAGAATAAATTTTTTAAACTGATTTCTGCAAATAAAAATTAAATTTCCCAAATGAGGGGTTAAGTTGCTAAACAAACTTCATTTTGATTTTAGTCAATTGTTAAAATTAGGTAAAAAAAAAGTAACCTTAGATTGATACAGATTTTAAATAACACTATCAGTTTTGAGGACAATCAGACACAAGGCTTTTTTCTTCAGAAGCAAAAAAAATCCTTTAATTAATCCCTCCCTTTAATAAAAAAAGTTACTATGTATTACCCCATCAATTGTTAAACTGTCACTAAGCAATGCAGTTTAGTGCCAGTTATGAATAAGCATAACATAGCAACACACCATAACATCTTCATTTTTGTTTAATGTATTTTCGATAAGCCGTGTTTCGTTTTTATGAATAGTGATTTTATTTTTTGTTGCATATTGAAAAAAAAAAAATATATTTAAACTTGGGATTTTCCATGTGCAGAACAGCAAGCAGCGAGTTATTTTTGAAAATGACGGGATCCTACTGTAAAAAAAAAAGTGTATTAACCCCTTAACTGCCGCGGAAAACACACAAGATTCTTTTCCCAGTGCCACAGTTTTTCACACAGGCACGCGTAGCTATGCGATGTATTAGGGGAAAAATAAGTGCAAGTTTTACTTTCTAAAAACTGTTTACTTTTCAAAATTAAGAAATAAAAGAAAAAAATTAATGCACAAAATTTAATGTTTAGAGTAAAAATATAATAAAAAGATGTAAGTATATTAGAAATGATGTTTTTATAATAAAAAAGATCCCTAAAATAGTGTTTCGATCAATTTATTTTTAGACCAGTAAAGTGTAATATCAGGTTTCAGTGTTATACCTTATGAAATCAGTATGCCTAAAAAAAACATATATTTCTTCTGAACTGGTTGAATGCCACAATTTTGTTCTTGATTTTTCATTTGCAAGTTATTGGTTCATATACTCGTCTACAAAACGGTTAGTTTCAGAAACAATATGAAGCACGAGCAGTTCATCAAAAATTAATTCAAAAAAGATAAATGGGTTTGAAACATTCGTTATATTGTTCTTTATTCCTGGAACCTACTACAAAAAGTAAATGGAAACAAAGGACACAGAATAAAAAAAAATACATTATACTCAAACATCACCAGCCAATACCACACAGTCATTACTTTCACCGCTTTAGACACATAACTCTCTCCATTTTCTCCCCTCACTTCTCTGAAATAGTATCCTCCTTCGCATACTTTATCAAGGTTATTGTGGTGTTGCATTCCAAAGCTTTGCGAATAATTTTACGGGTAGCAGCGCAAAAAAATGATAGTATTTTGAAGGGCGTATATATATGCTCGGGACAGTTAAGGGGTTAATGGACAGATGCAGTCAGCTGAATGTGGTCTACAAAGCAGTAATAGGTTAGAAAATTATTTGTGGAAATTTTGTACTCATAGTGTATTCTAAAGAAGGTTCCTGGCAAAATTTTTGGGCCTTAAAAGAATGATAGAGATTGATGAAAGCATTTTTACTAAGCTGGTCAGATATTGAATGTTTATTAAACAAAATGACATCAGCTCCTTCAGAATCCTACAGAATCGATTGGTACAACTTTGGAAAGATCTCAGCCAAATTTCCTTGTAGCCAGCTTTTACAATCGATGGGATAATACATAGGTACCAAAAAAAATTTCTCTGAAAATATCTACAACAAACGAAGTTTGCATTTTTGCTTAACTTAAAATTTCACATTGCTATATTTTCTTTCAATGAAAGATACCTTCTGAATATTAAGATTAAGGGTACAACATCAGTCAAAAAATTTTAGGAACATTATGAGCAATTCATAAATGAAATGCATTACAGACATTGTGAACAATTCATTAATAAACTTTTGTGTTTTCCTAATTAAAATGTTGTGAAAATACCTATTGACAACTTTTTGATATTTATGTAGTAAATTAGTTGAATTTTATTACTATTTTAAAGGATATTTTTTCTCACTGTTGAATTTGGTTAATGTCATGAAAATGTCTAAAGTTCAGGTAATGTCTTATTTGGTTAATGTCATCAAAATAGGCTGCACTTAATGTGGTCAAACATGATCAAATTAGGTGCAGCCTACTGTATCACAAATGCCTATCTTGTCTTGAGTAAGAGAATATACTGAAGTAGTACAATGTATATTAATGATAGTTTCAAGAGAGAAGATGCAGGATTGTGTATGCCAGATATTGAACAACATTTAATGAAATGGCAACTCAATACCATAGCAGATTATAGGATAATATATCTTGGTGTATCATTCTGTCCAGGCATTGTAAAATATTGGGTGTAACAATCAACATTCTAAAAGAACTGCCTTTTAAATGAATACTGAAGCTTAAATTCATATTGTTAATGAAGTACTGTTAACACTGGTGGATGATAGTGATTAAAAGAAGTTCATGTTATTTCATATCAGCAGGTATGGCAGGCTGTTGCTTAAAAGGACAAAGTAAATAAGCTCATCGTGTATTTTGTTGTTGTTGCAGTGAATATCAGATTACTCATGATAATTACCGTATATTCCAGCATATAACGGGCACCTGTAATTTCAAAATACATTTATTAATTTTTAAGTATGTTTGTCATTCAATGCACACCCTTAGGAGTCAGATGTTTTCTCTTTCTGTAGTCATTTGAAGCTACGATTTCAAAGCCATGAACATCAAAGGCTTTAATAAATCACATTTGCTTTAACTGAAATACAGTTGATCCAATGTTCCTTTTAGCAGTGAATATGGCTCCGGCCAATTTAAACAAATATAGCGCTAGTTTCAAATGCAAAATCATTCAATTTTTTACACAAAATGGAAATCGTGCTGCAGCAAGTATGTTTAATATTGCTGAAAGCTCCATGCATGAGTAGAAGAAAAATCATATCACAATAATTAATAAACGAAAGATTGAATGTGCTTTGCAGAAAGCTTTTTTTTGTATTCAAAATGCACATTCCGAAATGTACAGTAAATGCTTTTTTATATAATGTAAGTCTATTTATTCCTTTCAGATATTATGATTTATTGTTATTGATTGTAATATAAACTTTTCATGATATTTATCTCCTTCCTAATATATGATGTTTTCAGTAGGTTCATGTTTCATGCAACAAAGCATGCTGTGTTTCAAAATGGCTGTCAAGTATAACAGGAAATTCAGTGCATTTAATTGGCTTTTACAATTCTTAGAACTTAGTCACATTAAGTTGTAAGAGCTGTTTATGAGTGAAATAAGATGTCCTTTAGTGTGTAGTTCTCATAAATGCAAGCATATACATTTGGCAATTATTGCTGTTTATTGCAAGCTACCTGTGAATTTAGAATGCTTCAGAATCAATTCCATATACATCAGTTACATTGTTAGATTATTATTTTATAGTTTTCTTGAAAATAAAAGCATCTCAACAAAACCTATAGGGAAAAAAAGATTATAATCATTAAAAGGTCGGTCAACCCTGATACAGATTATATTATAACAATAAATTGCTTGTCAAGAAAAGCAGTTTTTCTGAAAAATAAGAAATAGTGAATATTTGTAATGCTTATAGCTTCCTGAGAGGTACTGATGCATGATCATACTCATTGTTCTGTTTACCTGCGTCATAAAATACTTTGCAGGAGGCTAAATGTAATGCTAGTATATTGTATGATGCTTTAAATATAAAATGAATATTTTTTGATATTCAAAACAGTAACAGAGATATATATGATTTTTAATTCCTGTGAAATGTCATGTTAATTGAAAGCATGTTAATTAAATGTACAAAATACTGTAATTCATCCAACTATTTCACACTAAATCATTTTACATTTTTCTTAATATACTTTTTATATCATACAAGCAAAATTTAATCTGCCATTCATTCCCTTTTCTTTTTAGACAAAATGTCTAAAGAAATGCAAGTAAATTTTTTTCCTTCACAACCTTTTCTTGTTACAACTCTGCATTTCCAGGCATACGGCAAACTGGAATACTTCTTTCCTGGTTTGGATCCATATCCATAATTTGTGTTTTCAAATATTTGGCTGTGCAAAATTGTTCTACTGTTAGTGCATTTTCATTTTTCCCCCATTATCAAATTCATATGGTTGCTGTAAACTGAGGTTTACAATAATTGATATATATGCCTTAACTCTTTATGATGTGAATTCAACAATTCCTGTACATTTGCTGAATCTGCTTAATTGAAATCTAATTCATGTCTAAAAACCTGCAGTTTCAATACCTGGCTTCACTTGTTCCCTTCACTCTTTAATATTCTCAACTCTCTTTTTTAATTTCTTCCACAGCTGAGCCAATTGCAAAGCATTATTACATGTGTTGCATTGTTTTTCAGTATTGGGGTTAAGATAACTGGCTTTAAAAATTGAAAGAATCCCAAGATTTAGTTTGCAAAAAGTTATCTTGTTAGGATTCAAAAGTACAGTTTGAATATCCTTACATTGTGCTGTCCATTACTGATTTGTTAAAAATCTTGAGCAGATTCTTAAAATCAAGCATAGAAATTAGAAGCTGTTTATTTGTTCAGTTGTAGCTGTAAACCTTTAAAAGCATGCTGTCTTGACCATGTGAAGCAAAATTTATTCCTTGTCAAATGAAAATTTACCTCAAATGTTAAAATCTGTTGACACAGCTGATTACTCTTTACTTCCTATCAAAAAAGAACTGTTCAGAATTATTTTAAACTGTTTCTTCAAATGGTAATTTTATACATGTATCATTATATTCTAGCTCGGAAGCAAGAGGTTATAAAATTGACAGAGCAATTAGTTGAAGCAGTAAACAGTGGTGACTATGAAGGCTATACGTAAGTAAATTTCATTGTATATATATCTCCCAACAAATCTAATACTTATTATAAATTAATGTTTATAAACTATATGCATACATGTAATTGTAATTGTCTGCCTATGGTGTAAAATATTTTAATTGTTGGGAGTTTTAATTAGTTTTATTCATAACTTTTGTGTATAATTTTAAGCATACAGCTTTTAATGTTGATTTTAAGAAATACAAAATAATTTTACAATACAAACATGATATTACACTAATATATGTACTAAATTATCATGCTGAATGCTTTATTTAAAACACAGTTTTTTAATAAAACCAATTCTATGGTTAATTTTGAATTTTGGATGTGAAGCAAAATGAATACAATATTAATTAAACATAGAAATAATTAAAATGCAGAATATGATAAGTATGTAATATAGATCAGATTAAAAGCTTTAAGATAATTACAATTTTGAAAATAACTGCAATCAGATTACTTAATTTAAATACCAAATTTTTTTTTAATTTAAATCTTAGTATTTAGTTAATGAAAATTCTGGTTTGTGTATGAAAGTTACAATTATTTATTTTTTTTTAAGATTTCCAAGATTTGAATATAATTTTTATTCTTCTAAATGTTACTCAGTATTTTGCTAATTTTTACACTAATTTTTCACATTTATATAAACTATTTGAAAATTTTATTTTTATAAAATAGTGCAATTTAATTTTACTTCTTTAAACTAATTTATTTGATCAATAACACAGTAAATATATCTTTGTAGGAACATTAAATAAGTTAATATAATTTGTATGAAGTATGAAGTATGTATGTTGCATGAAGAATCAAAACATAAAAAATTAGCACAAGCAATATTTGTCTAGAAAAAAGTGTGATAAAAACTAAAATTTGAGAAATTTAAGCAGGAAACTGGCAGCTTATTTTTTCTAATTACCAAATGCAGCACAGTTTGGGTATTTGCTTTAGAACTGTTGTTATATTGTTTTGCATGCTAAGTACTATTTATCATTTAATAGCTCATGCTATTTACTTACATAATTTTTTAAAACATTAATTTACAATAGTAGGTTTTTCCAGAACAAAAAATCATTCAGAAGAATATTGATATAGACAGGGATATTCAATATACACTCTTTTGCGAAAAAATCGAAGCACCATGAAGGACTTTTGCTATTGTGATGAAATTTGGTATGCAAAAACATCTTGATCGAACATGCAAATGATCAAAATTTCAAGGCAAATGAACAGGAATTGCAATCATAGCACGAATTTCTAGTGCACTATTCACAAAGTATAAAACCAAAGGCAGAAAATTTATCGTTTTTTGTTGCTGCCATTGTAATTCTGTAAAGAAGCAGGTACTATGACCTTGATTTTTTAATCATTTTATTATCTGTGTATGAGCTATACACATATTCAATTTCATCAAAAACAACCACTTCCTTAATGGTGCTTCGATTTTTTTTCCAAAAGTATATTTATTACATGTATTAAAAGAGAATTTTATTGCATCAGAAAATTTCATAACATTATCTTCAGAGTACTTGTTATTTCATTTGTTTATTGGATTTCAGTGAGATTCTTTGAAAATGTGTTTTCAAAATAGAAATGTGTTTCTTAAAATAAATAAATGTCTCAAATCAATTTAATTGTTCAAGCCTTCAGATTACATTTACTTGCTTTCTTATATCATATTCTTAAATTGCAACTTGAGTAAGTTTATTTAATCTGATGCAACGTTAAACTAAATTTTTACATTGTGAGAACAAAATTATGCTGTGCTTAAGCAAAAATCCCAGATAGTACGTGTAGGTTCTTTACCCTGATGGGAAAAAATTTTTTTTGCTCCATTTTAAATTACTGTCTAGTATTAATTGATATTATTTATAATCGATTAACTTTATTACTAAATATTATAAAGTATGTATGCGTTCAATAATTTCCTCTTTCAGGAAATTTTGTGATCCCCATATGACAGCCTTTGAACCTGAAGCATTAGGTAACTTGGTAGAAGGAATGGATTTCCACAAGTTTTACTTTGATAATGGTAATCTAATGGAATTTTTACCATATTTGTAATTGTTTTTGAAATATATTTTATTTATGAAAGCATAAAAATCTTTTATTTGTGTCAAAATGTATATGAATGGATTGTTCACTAACCTTTGATAATCCATGCTAATTAGGGCAAGAATAATTCACAAGTGATTATTTAAAAATTCTATTTAATGCACAGTTACCATTAAAAACAAAGCTCAGTTCAGAGACTTTTAATGAAAGGGGTGTAGTGTGTTATTAAAAAACAGTATTATACTTGTACAGTCAAAAGATTTTAATCCGAACTCGTAGGGACTTCGGCGATTCCGGATTATAGATCATCAGTTTAAATCTGGTAAGGTGGCATGCAGAAATTATAAAATTAAAAATATGAAACCGTAATTTATGAAATAAAGAGCAATTATGATCTAAAGGGTATCAAAATTTACAAAAAAAAAATCTTAATAATATTTATTTGTTTACTTTATTAAACATTTCTTTCAATGTGCGCATGCATAAAGCATACATTACGCATAGTCAAAATTAGAAAATTGCAACCAGAAAACTATTTGATGTGTATTCGTGATATTTATAATGGCAAGGAAATTGATTTAAATTATATCGGAGAACATCGAGATGAAACACTACATTTAGTGAGGAATTATAAGCCGAATAAAATAAAAACATCTGCCCTGAAGATGAGGATAGTGCTGACAGATCAACTTCCAGTTCATTGCGCGTCGCGACGTCCCCCCCCCTCTTCCGCAGAGCAGCGTGAAATTGATAAACTGATTTCGGAATGGTTAGAGAAATAAATCACTTCTCTGTCACTTTCTTCATGCCTTTATCCATTTTTTGCAGCAGTTCCACTTTTTGTTTAATGGACATCGGGACATCGCTTTGCAGATCCTTTGGCAGCCCCAGCATCGGAAATTCTATTTGACATAATCGAAAGTTCAAGCTTACTTTTATAAAATTGCTCTAACAGTCTGCAAAAAATAATAAGCCGGATCCAATTCGAAGATTAAGGAACAATGCAATCTGCAACATTAACTGAAATAGATAATTAGATCATTTTAGCTTAGCTTATACCATCCGTTATACATTAAACGCGCATGCGTAAAACTATTAGGCGCATGCGTCAATGCAAATTTGCGTTGACGCATGTGCAGAAAGTTTGCAGCTTAATGCACATTTATGCACATGCATAAATGTATTATACACATGCACATGCACATATGTGCATGCATAAAGGTATTACGTGCATGCGTAAACGCCTATGCGCATGCGTGAACGCATTATGCAATGATGCATGCGCAGAAAGTTTGTAGCTTTAAGGTCTGGATTATAGATCATTCCGGATTATGGGTGTCCGGATTAACGACTTTTGACTGTATTAATGGTAATATTTGCACAGGTTTTGTGATACTTAGATCTGGAAAAATATATTTTACTACTTTTTTTTAGAGCCATATTGACATTCTGATTTGTACTCAACCTCTTCATTCATATATTCTAACTACATGTCTAAATGTATCATTGCTTTAAACGGACCACATTTGCTACTTGATCTTCATTTCTGTCCATAAATTTTTCTACTTGTTGAGTCATTTCATTGAGAATGCTTTGTGTTGGTATTGCAGCTTTCATTGTGGTTGCTAGCCCACCAGCGGCCGAGCGCTGAACACTGGTAGTTCGCTCTGAGGTTCGAACCCCGCGAACGGGCTGGCTGCATGGGTGTTTTCGTGGTTTTCCCCATGTGTAACGTGTATACGAGCCAGTTTCCCTTAGAAAGTCCTCCACGAAGGCATCCCTCCCCTTAGGCAGATAGCCCTAGTGTGCTTTGCCATAATTAAATACACCACACCATACCATTGTGCTTGCTTTTTTCTATACTTTAGTGTTTCCTTCTGCTTATTTTCATGAAAAACAGAATTTCAATGAAGCCTGATATCTTTATTTTATTATCAGCAGGCTCTTCTTATTTTCTGATAATACAAATAACTTTCTTTTTCCACCAATAAAGCTTTATGGTTTTTATATTTCATTCCAAGATTAGCTATGAAACTCGTGACGTAATTGTAAGTTTCTTTGAAAAAGTCAAGTTTTTTCTTCTTCTCTAGTGATGTTCAAATAACTTTTCTATTGAACAGTGCATAAATAATTTGCTCATGCAAAAAGTGAATTTATGTTCTTGTAAGTTTCAAGCATTTACCATGAAATTGCAATTTTGCTAGTCTCTTTGAAACTATATTTTTTAATGTAGTAAATGTTCAGAACACATGAAATGTTTTTCAAGAAGATATTTATGGAATGTAGAAACAGTATCTCCAAATTATTCTATTACTTTTTAGCCCAAAGGGGCAATTTGCCTAGAAGGGCTATTATTTCATTTAGGCATATTGCCTTGATTCACTATAAACAACTAACTTTTTAAATTGTTGCCACCAAATATTAGAGCCCTGTATTATATTTAAAGAAGTTAAATAATGAAGAATCTGCATAAATGTATGTATGTGTTATTGCATTGTTATAAAACAATGCTGCCTAGAGCCATCAGTAACATACATCTCCACCTGAATATGGGCATCTCGAAGCCCAAATTTAGAATTTCTTTTATTGTCTATTTCATATTTTGTAAATCGTTTAAGAGTTTTTGATTAAGATAGTCAACGATTTCAGAGTGAGCAATGGCAACACTGTATGGGAGAAAAAAACATTTTTATCTCTGTCGCACAAGACTGTGTAGATATGCTCTTTTAAATATTTTGTGATATTGCTGTTGAATTGACTTTTATAGTTTAAATGCAAAGAACATGAAATTTAATAAATAAAGGTAACACAAAAAAATGTTAAAAAAGCCACTCAAAGGACATAATAAAAAATCTAAAAGCTTTTTGTGGGGGGGGGGGGGTAAAGATCCTGAGAAGCTAAAATAATTCACTCAAATTAATTGATTTTAAATATGAATTTTATTACAATATATAATGCATAATTGTGCTTAAAAAATGCTTTCGAATGAATTGGCAGGTGTGCCAAATCTCTGTAAACCTACCTCTATATAGCTACCATTATAAACTTCTCTCTATAAACTACCACTATAAACATTTCCAATTACATTACTTCATCAAGAAAATGTAATTCGTTGGCAGTGTGTGCCACTTGTGATTTTGCATGAACAAAGGTCTGATTTACTAAACTTCGGTGTATACAAAAACAGATCATAAAAAGTGTTGGAAAAAATGAGAAATTATATTTTTCTGTGGAAGCAAACAACCAAAAATTTATTAATGCAGAATATCCTGCCTTATTATATGAATTCAATATATCTTTGAATGCCTCTGTGGTTTTATTTAGAAGAAGTTTCTCTTAATAAAGCTGGGCTCACGTGCAAAGACAAAAATTACTAAAGAAATGAGTATGAAAAGCAAGTCTTTAATTAATGATTTTATTAAAATAACTTCTTTCTGCCTTTATATGGATGGACATGATAACATTGATGTGAAACATTAACAATAACATTGATGTATTGTGTAAAATAATAACTTTTTGTTTTATTAGAACTTTGTGCTATTTATATGTAAATGCTGATTTTCTCCCTAAACATGTGTTTAAGGGTATTCTTAGTTTGACTTGAGAAAATAATCATTTTATAGTTCAAACCTGAAAATATAAATGCAGACAATGGGAAAAAAATTTGACTTGAGAAAATCATCATTTTATAATTGACATTTAATGTTAAGCTGTAATGTAGTAAGTTTCTCGTGAAAAAAATCAAGCTTTAAAAAAAAAAGTTTTTGCACTGTTTTAAAGAATTTTTATTGTTTCATACTACATAGTAAAACATTTCGAATTTCATAGGTATTTTTTTCAATTCTTGATATGATGTTTTATTTAAAATAAATCAATTTTAAAATTTATCAGTTATTAAAGAACTAATTCCTGAAGCTCATTATCCTTTATATTCATATTTTCATATATACACTATGTTTATTCGTGTATTCCATGTTGCCTTTTTTAATTTATTTTACCACTTGCTTATTAAAAGAGAGCTATTACTGTAGTTTTTTTCTAAAGAGAAAGGTTAATAAGATTTAGTAAAGTATAAAGGCACCAACAACTAAAAGTAATTAGTATTAAAATAGATATATAACCAAGAAATTTATATTTACTTGAAACATTCTTTTCTCTGCTGAATACAGCTTCTCGTCCTTTCAAACCACTTGTTAAATAATGCTTGATATTCTCTCCTTGGGATATTTGTTGCAAATTCCTTATAGATTAGAATAGCCTATAAATAGGAGTGTTATGAGACTCTACCTGAATTTTGTTCATTCAGTCGGTACTCCATTAAAAGAAACTTATAATCAAGCAATACGGGCAATCCACCCAATTAATTCACTTAAAACAGGCAATCCATCTTAATGCAAAGTCATGGTGCATTTTTACTTCATTTATTCTAAACATAAAAAAAAAAAAAAAAAAAAAATACAATGTTGCCAAACCATAAAAACTTTATCTTTTAAGAAATTGCATTTATACAATCGTTGAGTTGCTCGCGACATCTCCTCCCACCTTTGATTTATGGTGGGCGGAACATAAATCAAAATACAATATACTTAATAGCGAGACTAAACAATACTTAGTATAATCATAAAAGGAAAAAACTAATTAAAACGCGAAGGTTTTACAATAGTTCTACCACATCTAGTTTTAATTATCTTATCAGGAGGTTTAAAGTTAATTTCTTTACTAGCAGGAATATTAAATTGGTTTTGTTTAGGTAAAAACAAGATCTCGTCGTCCATCACTTCCAAAGGATACAGTCATTGCACAGGACGGATCAATTCATCTGCAGCTGTTTTCACCTTTGCCACTCTAACACAATTATCTTGACTCTGGAATAGTTCAATAACTCGACCCAATGGCCAGTCCAAGCTTTTCTTGTTGTCACTTCCCACAAGTACCACATCTCCTAAATATATCTGTCTTCGGGTAGCTTTATTATCT